AGATGGAGTCTGGCTCTGTTGCCCAGGCTGGAGTGCAGTGGCATGATCTCGGCTTGCTGCAACCTCCACCTCCCGGGTTCAAGCAAATCTCCTGTCTCAGCCTCCAGAGTAGCTGGGACTACAGGTGCGTGCCACCATGCCCAGCTAATTTTTTGTATTTTTAGTAGAGACGAGGTTTCACTGTGTTAGCCAGAATGGTCTCGATATCCTGACCTCGTGATCCGCCCACCTTAGCCTCCCAAAGTGCTGGGATTACAAGCGTGAGCCACCGCGCCCAGCCCTATATATATCTTATGAACAAAAATATCATCACATTTCTTATCAAAGACAAGTGCCAACATATATTCATCAGAAAATAGGTGCTACTAAAATAATCTATTGGCCAACAGTTTTATTTCAATGATATTATCATTAAACTTTTGTAAAACTCAATTTATTATAAACCCTGAGAGTGATTAGTAACTATTACTTGAAAGCTATTTTAGTAATCAAGGCAAGCACTAATATTAAGTAGTAAAAAATCGACAATTAGATTAATGTCAGAAATAAACCATGAGCTCTTGGAAGCTGGTGGGATACCATCAGGCATTCATAAGGTACAATAATTCAAAAGTAAAAATTATATGCTTTGTAGCTTAGAAAGTGTTTTCACCTATTTTCTCATTTGTTGAGCCTTGAAGCAATGGTAGGTATTTCAAATTTAAGCATCAGCTATTCCACAACTAGCACATATGTCTGTGGAATTATTGATGTTTTGAATGTATAAACAGGATAGAAAGGAAGAGATGGTGGGGAAACAACACTGGAGAAGCAAAAGAAGTAAATGGTAAAAGTGGAAAAAATTATTATGTTTATTTTAGAATGGATTCATTTAGTGAATATAAATTGAGGGACCTACTTAACACCAGGCACTGTTTGAAGCTGTGGATATACAGCAACAAACAAAACTAAGTCATGTCCAAAAGACAAGGTGACCAACTCATCTCAGTTTGCATGCATGTTCTTGGTTTTAACACTGAAAGCCCTGCATTCCAGAAACCCCTTGGTCTAAGGCAAATCAAGATAGTTACTCTCCATTATCATAACCTCACTTTCTGGTAACTGTCACCTTTTTCTTCAAATTCATATCAATGTGTTTATCTCACTGTTAACAACAATGCCAGGTGGCACTGACCACAAGTAACCAATGGCTAGTATACCTGTTTCTAATTCAGGCAAAGTTATGAAAAGAGCAAATCACAGTAATATTAAACTTCCGAGAATTATTTCTAGACAACACTCCTTGGAGTGCAACTAAAACGGTGAAACAATTTGCTGTCAAGGGAGAGATAGTGTCTGGGAATATCAACAATTATATCACTATAATTACCATTTGCAGGACACCTCAGTATATCATCTCTAATTCTCACAAAGCACTCTAAGGTAGGTATCATTATGTCCATTGTAAGGATGAAGACCTTGAGAGTAAAGTCTCCCATACACAATAATGAGAAAGAAAACCAAAGGTAAAAGAAGAGAATGGGAGCTTTCAGATGGCTATAGCAAGTCTTATTTAAGCAACAACATTTATTTTTCAGAACAGAAAACTACTAATGCTCTCCTCAGAATATTTACTTCTTGTGTTCTACTGGATTATATTTTCCTGGAAACTGGCTTCTCTTTGGGGATACATTCTGGTAATCAATGTCAGTCTTATTCTTCTTCAGTCAAGTTTACTGATGAAATGGGTAGGACAGCACCTTTGAAGCACTAGCTTGGTTAATGTGGCAATGTTTAAACTATTTTTGTGCTGACTATTATTGAACTTCATAGAGGAACTTCAAATTAAAGACATTATGGATCAGCCAGCATTCAAAAAGGAAAATAAATCAATCAACAACTTTTTTTTTATCACAATTATACATACAGTTTTAGATATTTTATTTTAGGGTTAAATTATGATTCATTTTTATATTCTAATCAAATGTCATTGATGGATATCCCTGAATACCACAGTCGCTAAACCAACATATTCTAGTCCCTTTCCATAAGAAAATAAAATTATCTTTACTAACTTCAATAGTTCTTTAACATCTCATTATGCACATTGTTTTTATGAAGTCAGTAAAATCATCCAATTCATCCTTTTTAGAATACAACACACTATTTAAAGTTGTCTAAACTTTTTAAGAGATAACCATTAGGCTGCAACCACTTCTCACTTGCCAAGTAGCTAAAAACTAGAAAAACCAGAAGACATGACCCTAAAAGCAAGACACTTCCAAAAGTTGATGATTCAACTCAAATGAACAATATTAAA